CACATCTCTCATTTACCTAAGCACCTTGATATCCTCTGAACAGGACCATGGTGCATTCAATGGTTCCCTTATCTGTCACTCTCCCAACACTCTAATCCTATTTATAATATGATTCTTTTATCCTGGTTCCTTAGCACTGTAGCACTGTCCTCCTGTTGTTCATCGATTTGCTGGAGCGGGACCAGTTACGTCCCCATCGTGAGACTTGTTACTGTGTTTGGCGTATCGAATATGCCACGGTTAGCTTGCCAGGCTCTCCGAGAGGGGCGGAGGAATTGAACATGGGCCACTGTGCACGGCAAACGCCCTACCCACTATGCTATCACTCCAGTCCATCCTGGTTCCTTACAAATAACAATTCTTCCAATAGTCAGGAAAGATTATGAACAGACAGGGTGCTTAAATTATCTGAAAAACTCTCTTAACTGATGCTTTACCTGCAGCTAAATACCTAACTCACAAAAAGCGGAAGGCCAACCAATGCATTTAACACTAACACAATATGGATCAATTTAAAGCTGATTTAGTAGAGTAGGTCTTCCAGGATCATCTAACGCTCTCGGGACAGTATCTTGAACTACAATTATTCCAAAGCAGTACAATCAATACGGAACAAACAGAACACTCAACTATATTTATATTGAATCTGGAAGTTACCTCTTTTAAAATTCTAATACAACTGAATTACTTCATTTGTCTTTTCCTGAAAGCAATATGCACAAAAAAAAGAAAGATAATGATAGGCTATCATACATATGCAACCCACAAAAATGCTGCTTCCTTTAACAGGAGTCAAAATTTTCGCTATTTCAAACAAAATCAGAAACTTGTTAAAATTCTTCTACTAAATAACTCTAAAATGCAATGGATTTCAATTAAATCCACAAACCAGAGCACTATCACCAAAAAAGAAAAAATGTTTCTTGTTCTTCGTTTTCATCTTAAACATGATTTTCTCAAGTTGCAGATAAATTTTGCTTAATATTTGAATTTCATTCTTTTATAGTAAAACAAAATTTTAATTCCCATTAATTTTGCAGCTACATGATGCTTTGACTGTATCATTCACCTGGTACTTAGGAAATTATGGGGGGGTCCAATAAAAGGGTGATAAACATAGGCAATAGGATCACTCTTTGCAATTCTCCATTAGTAATTTTCCACATTCCCTCCAAACATACACCTCAGCCACACAAAAACAACAAGCGCTGCCTGCCTTTTCTGGCAAATCCTATAAATGATTACTCCAAGCAAACAAGCAAATGCCAATTCCAGTTTTTGTCCATCCATTTCAACAAGGTGTAAGTGATTTTTAAAAAGTTTAAGTAATGCGCTATTTTATCCACTTAATATGTGGAAGCAAACTAGAACTACAGCTAACTCAGCATTTAAATTCCATTTAAGAGCTGGATTTTCTGGTGGTTATAAAAAAAAAGGGGGCTGGAGCGATAGCACAGCGGGTAGGGCATTCGCCTTACAAGCGGCCAACATGGCCGACCCGAGTTCGATTCCTCCGCCCCTCTCGGAGAGCCCGGCAAGCTACCGAGAGTATTCGATATGCCAGACACAGTAACAACAAAGTCTCCAATGGAGACGTTACTGGGCCCGCTCGAGCAAATCGACGATCAACGGGAGGGCCTTTACCTTTTTACCTTTTACCTATAAAAAAAAAAAGGATGGATGGAAGGAAGGAAGGAAGGAAGGAAGGAAGGAAGGAAGGAAGGAAGGAAGGAAGGAAGGCAGGAAAGAAAGAAAGAAAGAAAGAAAGAAAGAAAGAAAGAAAGAAAGAAAGAAAGAGAAAAAATACAAATAAACTAAGAGCTCTAAAAACGCATTAAGACCCAGTTTAACATGAATAGATTTGGGACTCAGAGAACTCTGGACTGTGATCTCTGATACCAGAACCACTAACACAAGTAGCATCTTAAACTAATTAAAACTAAATAAGAGCATAAATGGAGTTCCGCAGTCTCATCACCACCTTTCTAATATGTGCCTAGTAGCTCACATACTGAACAGCTGAGATGGAGTCATTCCATCACTGAAGGGAAAACGATTGCGCCACTGGGAGCCATGGGGCCTCAGGCAAGTTACTTAATTTTTGTGAACTCAACGTACCCATGTTTGTAAAATGTCCATAAAATCACTTAGTAACAGAAAAACTGTTAATAGAATTTTAGTGAGACAATATGTTTTTTTTTTTTAAATCCTAGGTCAGACTTACTTTCTTTTTTTTTTCCTTTGGTTTTGGTTTGGGGCCACACCTGGTGATGCTAAGGGGTTACTCCTGGCTTTGCACACAGGAATTACTCCTAGCAGTGCTCCTGGTTTGACTTTGACATAGGATGGCAACCGTGAAAAAGTACCTTCCTCCTCCTAAGTCTCACCTTCCCAAACTGAAAATTCAGAAAAGTTCTTTGGGTGAACGTTTAAGGATCCTATCAGATTCCATCCTGTTAAATGCAGTTTAAGCAAAAGAAGCCTAAACTCTTACTGAGTTAAAAACCACTGCTACAGCTTCCTAACAGCTCCCAAAGCATTCCTCCAGAAACCCCAGAAGACAGGCTCTCCAATGAGCCCATGGTCTGATGTGAGCTATTTATAAAGCCTGTCTAAAAAGGTTACCGGAATATCTTTCTGAAATTGTATATACCGTAATTAGAAGCTGTAACCTCCTATTCCATGATGATATCTTGCCGTTTTACCGTCTCTTTTAAATGAACACTATCTTTACAGATGAATTTCTTTTCGAGGTCTTTAAACCAAAACACTTTAAAGCCCAAACACGGTGAAATGCAATTTTGTAATGACATCTTTTTTTCTTTTTTACCAGTTAGGTCTCATTCTTAGCCCACTTATGGGTGAACCTTCGCGTCTAAACAAAGTGAGAATCATGGGTGAGGTCCCTTTTGCCGGGCCAGAAACTTGCCCCAAAGTCTATGCTTCGTTAAGCAGTTGCTCCCAGAGAACCAGGAAATTTACTGAACACTGGGTTCGCAGATCCCTCTTCCAAAGGGAACCAAATGCCAAAACCTGGGCCACCAGTCTGCTCCCTGGGACTTTTCCCCAGAAACCCTTCAAGAAAACAGCTTTTAACTTGAGTGAAAGACCAATGCAGAGAGCAGAAGCCAGAGCCCTACAGCATTTTTGCCCAAAGCCTAAAGCTTCCCAAAAATACCAAGTATTATTCCAGAACAGATTCCTATTCTCCGGCTCTGTCTGCAACCACCTAGCCTCCCCTCTCCCAAAGCACCTCTCCACATACACACACACACACACACACACACACACAAAGAAAAAAGTGGCTTACTCCCTCACCCCCTTAGTAGAGCCTGGAAACTGGAGGAAATTCAAATCAAATTAGCTGCACATTAAAAAATAAACAACCCATGGGGGGGGTGGAGGGGGGGCGGTGCCCACCCAACAAAAGACCTCACCGGTTCCAAAATATGATTACGCCGAGGGTGGAGGGGCCGGAGGGGGGGGGGGGGGCGGTGGTTAGAAAGCAAGAGGGATGGGGGGGGGGGGGGGAGTGAGGCTTTGAGGCCCCTGCGTTGGCCCATCGCGGCCAAATTCCCCACGCCGGTGCCAAGACCAGGCTGGAAGTGCAGAGGCAAGAAAAGAGAGAGAGAGAAAAAAAAAAAGCAAAGTTGTAACTTTTGGAGGAAGTCCGCACTCTGCTGTGTCTGGAGAAAAAATGCCACCACCCGCCTGCCCGCCTGCCGGCCGCGGGGATGGCAGGGTCGGGGGCTGAGATCCGAAGCGGCCCAGGTCCCCCCGGCCCGGCCCGGCCCGGCCCGGCCCGAGGCCCCGCACCCACGGGGCAAGTGGGCCGGCGCGGCCCGCGGCCTGACTTTCCGCCCGAGTGACAGGCCCTTCCCACGCCGCCGGCCCCCGCCCGCCGCCGCCAGCCCAGACGCCCCGTCGGCCCGGCCCCTCCCGGCCGCCCGGGGCCACGGATTCCGCGCGCCCGCCCCGCCCGCGACCCCGGCGCCCCTCGGGGGGGACCCCCGGACTGACCGCCGCGACGCGGGCCCGCCCCGGGGGCGCCCGATCGTGCCCGCCGCGCCCCGCGCCCCGACCCGCGCCTGCCGCCGCCGCCGCTGGGCTCGCCGAGTCCGGCCGCCGGTTCCCGCCCCCAGCCCGGGGGGGAGCCCGGGGGGCGGGGGGGAGCCCGAGAAGGAGGAGGAGGAGGGGGGAGCCGGCCGGGGAGCGAGGACGTGGCGCGCACGGAGGTGGCCAGCGGCGAGGCGGGGAGTGTCCCGGAGAGGCCCAGCCGGGGGCGGCGGCGGCTGGGGCTGGGGCTGGGGCGGGGGCCGGGGACCCTCCCCGCGGGCGTCCCCGGCTCCCTCCCGGGTCCCCGCACCGGCCGCCCCGACGCCGCCCCCCGAAACTTGCAGCCCGACTTCGCCCGCCCGCCCGCGCGTGGAAATCTCCAGCCGCGCAAAGTGACACGTCGAAGATTCCGCGCGCGCGCGCGCCCCCCGCCCCCCGCCAACCCCACTCCGCCCGCCGCCGAGATTCCGCGAGGGGGGAGCGGATTCCTGGGACCGATCCCGCGGGGAAGGCCGGGGACGGGGACCGGGACGGGGAGCCCCGAGCCGCTGCCCGCCCCCCCCGAGGGCTGGGGTGGGGTGGCGTGGGGGGTCGCTTTTCCATCCCCAAAAAAGAAATCGCCCGCCCGGGGCAGCCGGGGAGGATGGGGGCGCGGGACCCCGCGGCCACGCAGGACGCGCCCAGCCCCCGGGAAGGCCGCTGCCCCCCACCGCCCCGCCAGTCCCCCGACTCCCGGGCGCCCCGACCCGCCCGCGGCCCCCCCGGGAGCCCCGGGACCCCCGCGCCAACTTGGCCCCGAGCGCGCGCGCGCGCCCCGAGCATCCCGGACCAGCGCGGACCGGGGCGGACCGGGCGTCCGGCCGGGGCTTTCCAGCGCGCGGGTCCGAGTCCTCCCCCCAAAACCCACACACACACGCCCCCCCCCCAGGCTCCGCGCCCCCCACCCCACGCCCCGACCTACCCGGGGGCTCCGGGCCAGCCGCACTCCGGCGCGCCCACGCCTGCCCAGCTGGCAGCCCCGAGGATGCCCGCCGCTCCCGCCGCCGCCGCCGCCGCCGTTCTCCGCCTCCTCCGGCACCGCCTCCTCCTCCTCCTCCTCCTCGGCCTCCTCCTCCACCTCCCCGGGCTGCCGCCGCCGCTCCAATAACTACCAGGAGGGTTGGATGGGGGATTCCGCCATGTCAATGATGTAGGGACCACATGGGGATGCGGCGCCCGCCCACCGCCGTAAAGCTCCGAGTAGCCGCGCCGCCGCCGCCGCAGCCTCGGAAGCGGCGCAGGGGCCCGGTCGCCTCCCCCCAGGCAGGCGGAGCTCAGGAGAAACTATGTAGCACTCGCTGGAACACACTGTATCACTGTCCTCCAGCTGCCCGTCGGAGAAACTCTGTAGCACTGGAGCACTGTCCTACCGCTGCCTGTCAGAGAAATTCTAGAGCACCGGAGCACGATCCTCCCGCTGCTCCTCGGGGAAACTCTGGAGCACTGGAGCACTGTCCTCCAGGTGGTCGTCGGAGAAACTCTGGAGCACTGTCCTGCCGCTGCTCGTCAGAGAAACTCTGGAGCACATGAGCACTGTCCTCCCGGTGCTTGTCGGAGAAACTTTTTTTTTTTTCATTTCTGTCCATCTAAAGAAGATTGAGACTTGGTGGAATAACAACTACAAAGTTCCGTTCTGGAACAGATGGCGAAAACGATATTGGCTAACTCCTGAGATTCAGGGAGAGAGCTAAAATGCGAAGTAGTTTTTTTAATTATTATTTATTTCATTTAGACGTAGATGTACTGCTTATAAATCTCCAATACCTGTGCACGAGTTTGCACTTCCTTCTGCCTCCACAGCCCTCGGTTCATGGGGTCCCCATGAATAGGACCGTGAATAGGTTTTATTAGACCTTAGTTCAAAGGCGATTTGGAACTAGAGGACATCATGCTGAGTGAAGTCAGTCAGAAGGAAAGAGAGTGATACAGAACGATCTCTCTCGAATGCAGAACGTCAAGAAACACAGAGAAGTCGCAACAGAGGTCCAAAGGCAACAGAGTGGGCAAACTAATCCACACAGTTGAGTTGGGGGAGGGATTTGCGAGAGAGGGGTTTGACGTCCTTGAGAGAGGGAGGTGGGTACACTGAGGATGGGTGTGGTGTTATGTGCATGAAAAACCAATATTAACGCCATTGCAACCCACAGAATCTCAGGCAAGAAAAAGCCAATAAAACTCTTCCCCCCTTTCAGTCCCAGTGTGTGTTCTCGAAGCAGAGATTATTCCTTGCTCTTATCTGTATTTTACTATCTGCCAAATCTAGTACAGTACAGTACAGTGCCTGTCAGAGAAATTCTAGAGCACCTGAGCACGATCCTCCCGCTGCTCCTCGGGGAAACTCTGGAGCACTGGAGCACAGTCCACAGTACATCTGTCACAATAAGACTGTGGACAACTGTTGAGTTAATAGAAATTAAAGAAAATACCATATATAACTTGTATAGGCTGAAGAGTGCAGCCTGAATCACCCCTCAAATTCTCCAAGGTAAAAGGCAGAAATTATTCCACAGAAATCCATTTCTTGCTTAGATTACAAGATATTCTAAATAATTGTTTTCCACCTCAACTGTTACCAAGAAGGAAGTATGGAGTAGGAAGCGAGGCAACATAGTATCCTTCAAGGGGCTGCTGGAGTGGGGGGAGGGACAGAAAATGGGACATTGGTGGCAGGAGATGTGCCCTGGTGAAGAGCTGGATTCTGGAACATTGTGTGACTTAAACTCAATCATTACATCAATCAATACATCAAGATCCTCCGTGAGCTGTATTGCAGATTCATTACCAGGATCTCACCATTCTACAAAGAAGTAATCATTGACATCAAGAGAGGGGTTCGGCAGGGTGATACCATTTCACCGAAACTCTTCAGTGCCACCCTCGAGAACATCATGCGATGACTGGAATGGGAAGGAATGGGAGTGAAGATAGATGGTCGGCAACTACACCACCTCCGCTTTGCTGATGACATTGTTCTAATAACACCAAACATCAGCCAAGCGGCACAAATGCTGGCTGACTTTGACCGTGAGTGTGGAAAGGTAGGACTACAGCTGAATCTTACGAAGACAATGTTCATGAGAAACAGCCTTGTTCCTGATGCCCCATTCGCTCTCAACAGAACGACCATCTCCGAATGCAACAGCTATGTGTACCTAGGTCAAGAAGTCAACATGACAAATGACCTGGCACCCAAGCTGCGCAGGAGGAAGAGAGCGGCTTGGAACGCCACGCCTTCAAGAACGTCGAAGAAATAGCTAAGAGGACGAAGAACCTCCGGCTCCGGGCACATCTCTTTGATTCCACTGTTCTTCCTGCATTAATATATGCCTCAGAGACCTGGGCCCTACGCAAACAGGATGAGAACGCTATTCAGGTCTCCCAAAGAAGAACTGAAAGAGCTATGCTTGGAACATCACGTTTCACTCAAATGAGAGAAAGAATCCAGAGTTCCGACATCCGTCGACGATCAAGAATCAGGGACGCTGTCTCATTTGCCAAGGTGTCAAAAATCAGATGGGCTGGTCACATAATGAGATTTAAAGACGACCGCTGGACTAGAGCTGTTACTGACTGGATTCCACGGGATGTCAAAAGACCGCGTGACCGCCCACCTACCAGATGGTCAGACTTCTTCATCAAGATCATGAACGATCGGTTTGAGGCTCTTCATGTTCCCAGAGCAAACAGATGCCATTGGGCTACACTAGCACGCGACAGGGACAAATGGAGACGTTACTGGCACCCGCTGGAGCAAATCCCCGACTAACAGGAAGTTAAGTGATTAAGTGAAACTCAACCATGAAAAACTTTGTTACTGTGTATCTCAGAGAGATTCGATTTAAAAGGTTTTTTTTAAGTAAAGAAAAATTAACAAGCACCACTTAAAGAACTTCAAAGGATACTAAGGAACAGCTCCTTTCCTTGTGGAATTTGCTGCTGTTTCTGTAGATTGGGGAAGGGAGAGAGGGGTGATAAACCCAGGCAGATAGAACTCTCTCTCTCTCTCTATATATATATATATATTTATATATTTTTATAATTTTTAGTGAATCATCATGAGATACAGTTACCACAGACATACAAACTTTCGTGCTTACGTTTCAGTCATACATAGTCAAGTACCGGTCCCTCCACCAGTGCCCATTCTCCACCACCAATGTCCCCAGTATCCCTCCCTCTCACCCCCCCATCCCCACACGCCCCTCATACCTCCCCCCTTAGTAGACGCATTCCCTTTCTCTCTCTCTTCTCTCTCTCTCTCTCTCTCTCTCTCTCTCTCTCTCTCTCTCTCTCTCTCCCCCTCTCTCTCTCTCCTTTAGAGTGTTGTGGTCTGCAGTGCAGGTGTTAAGTGGCCATCAGTTTCACTCTATAGTCTACTTTCAGTACACAAGGACCCAAGCGGGTCCTCCAAGCATCCTTTACTTGGTGGTCCCTTCTCTATCTGAGCTGTCTTTTCCCCAGCCGGCCTCCAAGCCATGGGACAATCCTGTTCCTTGTCTCTACTATCTTTGGCTGTTCATCTCCCATTTTGTTACTTGATATTCCACAAATGAGTGCGATCTTCCTATGTCCAGGACTCTCTCTCTTAAATGGCGCCTTTTCCCCAAAGTTCCTTGACACCATCTTTATAAAACGTGCTTCCAATCCTGGGCCAGGACTAGGATGGGGGTGGGGGAGGTATCTTGCAGTGGGTCCCACCGGCTGCCTTGTAGAATCTATGTCAGGAGCTTCAGTCCAGCTGAACACTGACTTACAATCAGACCTATCCCCTTTGTACATTTTTTTTTATCTGCTTGGACTCACAATACAATCTTCCCATCTGTCTGTCCTTTCAGATCTTAAGATCACATATTCATCTCAGAATTCCAGTTACATTTTGTTCCTCACCTTGCTCTTTTCTCCACAATTTCGCAATTCTTTCTGCTTCTTCTCACTTGCTTTGAAACCACTATTTCGGCCTTGCCCTTGACATAGTCTTGTTCATTTTTGCATTCCCGGCATCAGCCCATCATTGTGCTTTGAATATAATACCCCTTGTAAGTGTTTATTGAATAAATTAATTGTAAAGTATATGGAAGAAATCCAAATGACTAAATAAATGGGCAAATTTCAGAACTTGGAAACATCCAAGTGTTTCAGGCTTGGCAAATAAGGTAAAAGAAGACAAGGGAAATCACAAAGGTAATTATTTCTGTCTATTCTTTCCACTAGACTGAATTTGGTCTAATTAAGAAAATATATAGGAATACATCAGCTTTTTAAATGGACATTCATATATATGCTCTCATTGTTTCATTTTTTTCTTACTCTAAGACCTAACACCAGTTTTGGCAAATAATATCAATAGAAAACCTAATAAATGTTTGCAATATGAGACAAAGTATGGTGTAGTGGAAAGACCATGGAAATGAAAAGCAGACAAAAGCCAATGACATTGAGCAAGTTGTTCTCTGGGCCTGGCTTTTTTTTTTCTTATTTAATGGGAATATTGCCTTCCTGTTCAAATTGGTGTGAGAATTAAACATCTCACCTCAACCTGATGCTCAACAATAAATATTAGTTCCTTCCCGGATGAATGAGTGCGTTAATGAAGATGACTTTTCTGGAGGAAATTAATATGCTAACATTGGACACAGATGAAAAAGACAGGATTGTTAAAAGGGCACTGGGGTGGTTGGAGGGATTGCTTACGAGGTTAAAGGAACTGTGATCTCAACGATCTGCACTCATGCTTTACATGCAGATGGCCCAGGTTCGATCCCAATATCACATTGCCCCCCAGGCATCATAGGGGGAGACCCTCAAGCTGGAAATAACTGCTAAGCACCATTGGCTGCACTCCTGCGACCTCCCGGCCCCTGCCAAAGAGAAACAGAAGAGGTCAATGAGAGACATAAATTTAACACATTGAGAAAACTCTGATGGGTCTATAGAGTTATAAAGTGATTGAAATTTGTTTCAGGGTTCTAATAGCAGCAAAGCTGATGTCAGAAAGG